AAGCACTCGTCATAAAAGCCATAAACTTGCGTTATCTGTCGTGATTCGTGATTTCCTCTTATCAGCGTGATTCTGTCGGGGTAACGGACCTACGTGACGACACAAAATATGAAATTATACCGCAGTAGCGACTCGGTTAGCTATTTTGGATTTAATTTCTTTTTAACAATTTTTATTCAAATATGAAAAGAGTGAGACTAAAATTTATGTAAAGTACGTATATATACATATTTACTTTACATAAATTTTAGTATATATATCAAGTATATATTTACGTATAATAAAACGCAGCTGTTTCCTTAAGGCCATTGCACGTACAAAAATTTTTGTAATAATCGCAAGGCCGTAAGAAAATTGACCAATCACAATCAATTATTCTTTGACTGCAAGAAGAATTATTGATTATGATTGGTTAGTTTTCTTACAGCCTTGCGATTACTACTAAAATTTTTGTACGTGCAATGGCCTTTAATCCCTATCCAAATATTTAAAGTAATGATTGTTTTACGTTGTGACGTACCTTTAACGCAAGTAGAAGAAGAAACGTTTCGACGCTATAAAAACCTCGGTCTACAAAATCTCCCATAAAAAGGTAATTCGTTTCTGGCACATCTCCACCTACTTTGAATAGCTCCTTCAAATCATAAAACTGTCCATGGATATCTCCACAAACCTAAAGGAAAACACACGTCGCGCGCGTAGGCTTTAAAATGTACTTAAACGTTCGGATTCTGACGATCCGATTGCCGTTTACAAGAGACAGAGAGATAGTTACTGTCACAGGTGAGTCAACGCGCTGTACATTGCTCTCCTCGATCAGGATTTCACGCGCCTTCGCGCACAGGGCCTTGACCTCGGCCTCCTTGATGATCTCGCACTTCTTCAGCTGCTCGATTTGCCGATCCAAGTCGCTAGAATCGGCCATCGTACGATGGTGCGAAGCCTAAACCGCGATCGAGGTTCCCCGCCGTAGAGCGCAGCCGTTGTCAACGACTCCTCGCACGAGACCTCGCGGTGCTCGACTCCTGGTGCTTTAGGACCCGTAGAAGAGCCGTAAATCGTGGAGGAACTGGGTAAATCCAAGGTACGACACGGATAATGGAACGAAGCGCGAGAAATGCGTAAACGATGAGAGAAATCGCATGCTGCACACAGTACTTACGGATTGTCCTCGTCCTCGTCGTCGTCGTTCGTCGGCCTCGGGTTTCACCGCCGTGACCGACACATTGGACGAGCGAATCGTCGCCGAATATTTCTATTAATAATAAAACACGACCGGGGACTCCTGTACTGGCGGAATTATTCGCCGTACTCGCCTCGAATCGAGCTCGAGCCCCAAGTCGCTCGCGGTACACACCAAATTGTTTAACATAAACACGGAGTTCGAAGACTTCGAAGTGAAACGACAGTGAACAATGTACTGCAATTGTATGTGTGCACCACTGATCAGTAAGGACCGGCCAATCGGGGAGCCTATTATCTAGTATCTTCAAACGAGATGAAAATGCGAAAATTGAGAGAATTCGCTAGAGTTCCTGGCGATTTCGTTGGTCGAAATCTAGTAAATCTGTTCAAGATTTACGGTAATAGGTCCCTAGATGTCAAAAACCTGCGATTCGCGTCGTCGATTGGCCGATTTAAAATAAAAATATGCGATTGGCTGAATCAACGGAAAAACTCCAGGCATCGGGGGCTGCGAGTGGCTGCGGTTAATCGCGCAACGGGACGTTTCCGCAGCCAATCAGTCGATTCCATTTTTGGCCAGACCGCATGAAGGTTAGGTTGACAGCCCTGTTTGTGCGAAGACAGCATGGTGCTCGTTCAAATTAAATCGACGAAGTCCGTTAGTGTTGATAGGTAGGTGTGTTTGTTGATAGGTCGTCGTTTTCTATGCGTGGATTTAACTCGAGAGAGCGGTGAGTGCCTAAGCTGAAAACGTGCAATTTACGACGTAAGAAACTGTAATAAAATTGACGATGCGCCTTTCGTTAAGTCTTGACATATTTCAACTCCGTCGTACAGCGAAACAGAGCTCACCAGGTTTTGATATCTGAATTACAGTTTATCGAGAAATTTCTACGGGATGGACCCATCCAATGCCGCGCCCGAAGCTGGAAAACCGGAAGGCAGGCTTCGTTACAGCATGCTTCTTGCCCCATTTCAGCCAGCAACAAGGATCGAACTGGAGACTAAGATAAACACCAATATAGAATGTCACTTGGATGTGAGAAACGTTGGCGACAAGACGTTAAACGTACGAGAAATTCTTCAAATTAAATATCTCGATTTTTTATGTGGAATCGTGTTTCAGGCTGCGTTCTGATATTCACTGTGAGTATTGAAAATCTATAGTTTACGTAACGTACACTATAGATTTTCAGTACTGAGAGTGAATATTGGAACGCAGCCTCACATACGTATGATTGTGTAAAAGAATGTTTTTTAAATACTCACCTTATTTGACTTTTCATTTAACTTACTTCGTTTAATGATATTTTTTAGGTTTTTGTAACAAAGTTGCCATCTACGGAGCGTCAGATTGGCGTGAGCGTGTCCGAACTAGAGATTCAAGGGAACGGTAATGGTACGATATACATCAAGTGGTCTCCCAAAGAAGCTGGATGCTGGCGAGATGTATTGCAACTAACTGACAGCAGACAAATTAAATATGACATTATTATAGCAACGACTGCTAAGGACGATAAGAAAGGCAACAAGGCGAGAAGGAGGCTAAAACCAAGTCTTTTATTATCAAACTCGTCAAGTCTCTCTACATCAACGGTAAACAAACAATTTCATCGAAATAACACGCTCTCTACATCAACGGTAAACAAACAATTTCATCGAAATAACACGCTGAAAGTTCCCACTATGAGTCAGTCTCTGGTTGACAATCTTGGTGCGCAAGTAAAACGATGTGAATCTAAATATGAGAACAATCTGGATAAGGAAAATATCTTAAATAGAAATAATGAGGTGAAGACTTGTACGTCGCTGGCAAAGGACGATGGAATCGACGGAACGTATCGTAATGGGCATGATAAACTGGAAAACATCTTGTGTGAGCAAAATACAAATGTGTGGATCGACGGTAGTGTTCTGCAGCAAGTCTTGGTTCCTTCGAATGGACCGCAAGATATACGCAGAGCCACATACATTAAAGAAGATGGACCTTGCGGTGTACTGTACGAGCACAATGAGGAAGTTGATGGAAATAAGGAGTGTGACAAAGACAAGGCCCGGTCCGATTTTTCCATACTTTTGAATAAATTTACATTCACGTCTGCGGATGTAATTTCGAGTTCTCCCGAACCGGTGAGAAGGGAGTCGACGGACTCACCGTCTTTGCAGACTGTAGATAAACACAGAACGTTCAATATCAGTCGCAGTCAATTCTTTGAGACGTCTGCAATTTACGACACGAAGACTCCCGCCGATGAAGCACCTGCATTACAACCAGCAGGCTTGCACAACTTGTCGCCGATCAAGCCCGACGGCTGCACCCTCGTGAACGATATCAAGAATTTAATTTCGTCGTCGCCGATTCAATTTCAACGCCGAATTATATCGAAAGATCCTAATGAATGCGCGAAGCATTTCACGGTGGACATAAATCCAAGTAGCCAAACAACCAATTGCGAGTACTTCAGTTTTGAGGTCATACCTAAGAATGTCGAAGCGGCCAAAAAGATGGGGGATGTGTACATCGAGATTTCTCCACCGAAGAAGCATTTCCACTCCAAGATGGTATCTATGTCAATATCGAAGCTGAGCAGCGCGAAAACCGGCAGAGTTACAAAAAACAATACCTCGTGTGACGCTGGAAACAAAAAGAAGCTACAGCTAAGCGTGTCTGCTGCAAGTGAGCTCTGCCTTAAAAAAATATTATATTTTTAATAATATCAATTCTAATTTGTATGTTATAATTACAGAGAGGAATACGAAGAATATACCAGCGATCAAGATAAACAAGTTGTCTCTTAGTACCTTGCTAAGTACCAAGTGGCATAGTTCGTCGTCCATCAGAGATCCGAGTTTCAAAATGCGCAACAAAGAGGAATACTTTATCTATGGCACATGTGAATTGGATCCTTTTGCACCATCCACGACGGAGGATCCATTTCTCAAAAAGTTAGCTGAGCTCTCTGTAATTCACACAGAGAGAACATTTTACGTTAATATTGTATATAAATCGAAAATCCCATAATTTATATTTTTTGTATAACTTTTTGTTCTCCAACATCGTTTCTATAGAAATTTTTAATTTTTTATATTTGTAAATTGACTTGCGAAAGAATATTTGCGTTGATACAAATTTTTTTATTGAATTTAAAGAATGAAAAGTTGATTCTGATGATTTTAACACATTGATCATCTTATTATAACAGTATAGTGCATTTTGACCAGCCATGGCTGCTGCAGCAAGAGTTAGCGTTCACAAAGTGGTTGAATGCTCTGCTATCTTCGCCGGAGGACTTGTCCGTTGACATTGAAACTGCCGTAGCGGACATCGACAAGGTGTGGCAAACAAGCAAAGCGCAGAAGAATACTGTATTGGCAGAAACCAAGGAGGCTGTATCAGCTAGGTACGCATTATGTCAATAATTAATATTTAATAGAAAAGTCTGCTTCTCTAAAAATTACATAAAGTTAATCTTACACAATCGCCAGCCAACGGCAATTATTTTAATTGGTAATTTTTTTCAGGTATCACACGAATACGAGATTAAATACATTACGAAAAGCTGCAAGTGCTATGTTCAAACGCGACGAAGTCACGCAAGTACTTTCACGCACCAACCTGTTCATCGTCAAAGGAACTTTGTGTATTAGATCGGATCGTAATCTTCATCGTGATATCGGTGCGTTGAAAGTTTTTTCTTTATACGCTCGTATATTCTTAAAATTATAAACTATCCAATCCTCATTTTTCTAATCCTTAATTTTCTTTATGATCAAAGAAAGCTTTCTGTAATTGATAAATTTTATGCATGCATTATAATGTTCTAAATCGAATGACTTTATTACAGGCTTGCAGAAGCTCATATTGAGCTTATTCCTGAGTTACAATCCTCTATGGCTACGTATCGGCTTGGAAACTGTATACAGCGAGAGTATTTCGCTACGCTCGAACAACGACATTGTTGGCCTGACTCGCTTCTTATTAACGAGATTCTTTTCGGATCCACGACTGATGAAAATGCCCGGCTACCATAAAACTGACCCGAGCCAAAAGTTCATCACGCAGCTGAATCAGTTTATTCTGAGAAAATTCTTGTTTCTCGTATACTTTCTGGACTACGCTAAGCAGCATAAACTGATCGGCCACGATCCGTGTCTGTTTCACAAACGCGCTCAATATAAGGAGAGTCGCCAGATCTTGCTGAGTTTCTCGCGCAAGCTCCTAAGCGGCATCGGCGACGTGACCGGACTGCTGCGCGGCCATGACTACGTGCTCACTTATCGGCAGACTTACATCGAGGAGTACGATTACGCGGTGGTGAACATACGGCACGATTTACGTGACGGCGTGCGACTGTGTCGCGCGATGGAGCTCATCACCGGCGCCCGAGGATTGACCCAACGTTGCCGGGTACCGGCGATTTCGCGTCTACAGAAGGTGCACAACGTGGATCTGGCGTTGAGTGCTTTGCGCCAGGCTGGCTACGTTCTTGAGGGCAACATAGACGCGAAGAGCATTGCCGATGGCCACTGCGAGAAGACTCTGTCGTTTCTCTGGCAGATTATCCACAGGTGCCAGGCGCCGCGGTTCGATCGGGCGGCCCGCGTGATTCAGAGATGGTGGCGGGCGCAACTCTGGTACATTTACGTGAGGAACTTCTTGCGCGAACGTAGAAATATCGCCGCGATAATAATCCAACGCATGTGGAAGCGCAAAATAACACTGTCTTCGCCCGTGATCGAAATTGACTGTAATCTTGAGGAACGCAAAAGATACTTGCGCATTCGAACAGCCGCGATACAACTTCAGACCTGGTGGAGATCTGTAAAAGCCATGCGGGAACAGCGCGAATGCTTCCTCCACACAAGAGAGAACGCTTGTATTATTCAGGCTTGGTGGAGGCAACATTTGTTGGTGCGAAAAGCGCGCAATGATTTCCTGTTGACGAGAGCTGCCGCGCGTAGCATCGAGAGATGGTGGATAAGCGTGATCGACAGACGTAAGTTCCTCCAGTATCGGGAGAGTGCTGTTCTCATTCAGAGAACGTGGAGAACGTACCGAGCGCGCAAGCAAGAAGTCGCCTGTTTGAAGATACAAGCGTGGTGGAGAGCCGCGACGTGCTCGCGCAGATATAGACTTCAGAGATCTTGCTGCTTGAAATTGCAACGTTGGTGGCGCGGAATCGAACTTATGAAACGTCAACGCCTGGAATTTCTGCAACTGCGGGAAGCGGCGTGTATTATACAGAAGAATTGGCGGGCGAGAACGATCAGGAGGGATTA